TTTTTTTTTTTTGGTGCACAGATAAATAAGATAAATAACTGCTATAAATAGATATTATTTTATACAACATTTTTACCAATTTACAGTTTACTTTTACTTTACAGTAAATTAATAGCTATTGGAATATAAAAACAACATAGTTAACAAAATTTTCAAACACCTATCAATATAATTATTTAATTATCATAATATTTGTTTAGTTGTATATTTTAAGTTCAAAGCGTAATAATGAAACTACGAATATATTACACGTCATCAATAATAAAACAATTTTCTTTTCTTTTTTTTCGGCCCGGGGGGGGGGGGGGTTGAACCCGGCCCCCCCCCCCCTATGTACGCTACTGCATGATTTACAGTTTCATGTCTTGTGATTATACATTATCTACTGGCTACTCTATTTTATTAAAACAGAAAATAATATAATAATATTATATAATTCATCGCTTTCATTTCTTATCAAAAATATTTCCTAATTTTAATATTCTAACAGCCACTTATAAACGTTTGATTTTATAGCTTAATAAAGATTGTTTTTCCCGAAAATTGTAACTTAATGATAAGCACAAAAACTTAATATCATATTCATATGTGATTTATTTATTATAAAACGCATACTGCAATACATCAACATATTACATTCATTAAATTAATATATTTTTTGTTACTTAATTTTTTTACTTGTATAATATTGAATAGTCAATAGAACTAATGCTATAATTTTAGTCCGTAAACCAAAAGAATTATACATAAAACGACTACTACTCTGTACTTAGGCAAAATAGGAAAGTGTAGAAGTTTTAATCTATAGTTTTATATCATTCATACGAGTATTTCCCTACTCGTGTAAACTCATAACAAAATAATCATTCTGTATTTGTGTACTCGTCGACGTTCATCACATCGTCGCTGCACCGGTAAATATTCTTGCATTATTATTATTGCACACCATAGAGTAACGGTTCTTACGAAGAACGCACTGCATTTTTTCTACATATTATTGTTATTATTGTTTTCGAAAAATCTTCGTGATAAATTGTTGGAAGAGTTGTGTTTTTAATTATTTATGGCCATTGATAAATACGTCTAAAAAAAAAAAAGTTTCAATACAAGTTTGATGCTTTCACGTATATTACGATTACATAAAAACAATTGTACACTATGAACCCTACATTTTGTTTACGTAAAAATAATGCGTATAGAACTTATATACTCACAAAGTCTTTCAAATATATACTAATCAGTGGCGTATATAGGGGGGTGCCTAGTGGGCTACAGCCCCCCCCCACAAATGTTTCAAAAAACTTAAACGTTTGTTATATTTTAATGGTGCTTTATGCTTATTCAGAAGTCATTTTATAAAAAAAAAAAAAAAATAGAAAAATAACTTTAACCTAGTGGTATTTATTTTATTCAATTGTACTTCAATAGTTCATTAAAATGTTTTAAGGTTCTCAATTTATAGTTCAATGCTTATTATTAAGAGTTAATTATACAATAAATAAATAAATTATAATTGTATAATACATTTTATTCATAGCATATTTTATTATAGAAATAGTCTAGTAGACATATATATATATATATATTAAATAGTTAAGTACCACATCATATATCCTTTGTTCATAAGTACAGGATTATTCTTATTATAGGAAATACGTAAATAATATGATCATTTAAGACAATTTTTATTGCTTTTGTCAAATAGTTTTGAGACGTTCTGTAAATGAAATGTAGATATGTACCTACTGTGTCTTGTTAGTAATTCTTAGATAGCAGTGGCAATTTAACTAAGTCCATAGTAGTCCCTCCCGAAAATATTTTCTGTATACGCCACTGATACTAATATATTTATACCAACCACGCTTTAAAATAAAATAAAAATTGAGGGTGGTTTTCGAGAATTTCGGCAATTGTTTCGGAGAGTTAGTGTTTTGTTCCGGTGATGTTAAATATGTTTTACGTTTTACGGTGACTTGTACCGTATAATAAATAATGTTGAACAAATCGAGGGTTCTTCCTTAGACATTAAGTGGCTGGGTGAGATTTTTTTGTTGTCCGCTTCTAAGTCTTGTTAACGTAACTCCGTATTTTCTAGGTATGACCAATTTGTGTACGTTGGGTTTTACTACTCTTACGTTGGGTTTGACTTAGTGCGGAGTGAAGTCCATTTCTGTTGACATTTTATGATTGTTGTACGAGGTGATGTTTGATTACCGATTAACCGAATGTCCATTATTAATTTTTCAAAACTCTCGTTGAACAATAAATACGTACATCGTACGTTTTACTGAAACAACGTGAAAACGAAAAAATAAAATACGAAACGTGTCCGACGTCGGTTGGTCTGACGCGAAAACATTACATCGCGAACAGGGGCGTAGCCAGCGATCGATCGTCCGCGACGGAGCAACAAATAATTTTCGAACGGCGGCGGCACTGCCGGCTGCTTCGGGGCCCCTGGTATGCGCGGCAATCGTCTTAGCCGTACTCCAGGACGCCGGAACACCGGAACGGACAGCGCGAAGCGGACGGTCAATTGAAATGACTGTCGGTCGCCGGACGTCTGCATCAGGGCCGCAGCGGCGCGCAGCGATCGCGCCGACGTTGCGTTTTACCAGTCGCGTTTGCCGCGCGCGCGGTTTTTAATTCTCGCCGTGCAGCTGAACCTAAATGGTAACCGTTCGAAACGCTCGTAACCCAAAAAAAAAAAAAATCACGTAAAGTTCGTAACCGTGGGCCGGAACTTCGCACACGTATGCGGTTTCAACGCTCTCGCGGAGGAACGATCGCCGCTCGAGTGTTCCGGCACGGAGGTTGTGTTTCTCCGGCGGTTCGGTCAGGAAATACAAGAAGAAATAAATAACCGGGAAAATGTTCGCACCGAGCGCTGAGATTTCTTCTTTTTCCCGTCGCTCGTTTGCACGTCTGTTCGTGGAACGATTTTCGCCAACCGACTGGAAAAGAATGTACTCTTCTCAACGTTACACAATGTAACAAGTGAATGCGCGCGTACTAAAATAGTACATATTGTAAACTGTTCAGTATTTCAGTGTTTTCGGTTTGTATACCATAAGGTAACGGTAATTGTCGCATTTTACGAAGACTTTAAATTAATCGATTCTCGTCTATAGGGAAGATTAGTGTGACGTCACAATCTTTAATGATAACGAGTCTGGTTCCAAACAAACCGTTATCACGGTTCATTCCATAAGAAACTCATGGTCTGTAACCCTTTTTATTTTGTGAATATACTTTGAATTGTGTACAAAAATTCAGATATAGATTTAAGTATACTTTAAAATATTATAATTATAATTTTTAATTATGGTTAACTGCTGGGCACCCCTGTGTTCACACAATTCTGTTAGAGAATCGTGTAGTTTTTTTCGTTTTCCGACAGATGTGACATTACGAAATTCTTGGACAAATACAGTTAGGTAAGATTTATCGTTTGATATATTATTGTGTTATTTATACAATTAACACTATTATAATATGATTATAATTGTTTTATAAGAAGAGCATATTCTATTCCATCAAATAATAGCCGATTATGTAGTTGTCATTTTAAAGATAGTTTAAAAGAGAATGGTCCGTCTATATTTGCTTGGAATGAAAACAAAATAATGCATTTTGTTTCTCCCAAAAAAACGTAAAAGGTAATTTTTATTGTAACATATATTAATTATATACTATATTTAATTAAAAAATTCAAGATTATAAAAAAATTGTTCATCGATCATTTCATTTTACTTTCAAACGTACACTGTATTTGTCAGTGTTTCCCAAACTTTCTAAAATATTTCTCTTACCCAAAGCCAACAGAAAAAAGAGGAAGGGATAGGGATAAATATCCATTGATCAGGGCTTATATATACTTTATGTCAAATTATATTCTTTCTATTGTAACTATGTATTGACATGTTTTCAAAAACAAAAAAAAAAAAATTAAATTTCGCTCTATAATTTTTAATTTGATTTCATATTGAATATTTTTTTTTTATTGTTCTTAAAGAAAAAATTTTGGTTTCAATGTATCTCCAATATGTCCATTTTTTACTGAATACCGGTCCGGTGTAAAACGGATGGTTTTTTTTGACAAACGTTAAAATAACGGATATACTTCCGTTGCCCGTAGTATTTTATCGATTATCTGTAATTAAATTTAGTCAGTTCCAAACTTTTATGTATCATTTTGCAGTCCATCCATGCCGTAAAATTAAGATGTTTAATTTTGTAACTTTTTGAAGTTTTATCCCAAAGCACAGGTCTATTTTCAACCAGAAAAATCAACATTTTAATATCGATATCAATATCAATATTCATTTTGAGGTTTAAAGTTTAATTTTAATTTGAAAATTGAAAAAAAAACGGAGTAAATACCGGCGTTGTCAACACACTAGTACCTATAGACTGGCGTGGTTCACTGCAACGTGCCGGCGTCCGGTGTCCCGAGGGGACAACGTACGGTCCGGTTCTTATCAGCTAACGGATGATTTTTCGGTGCATAAAAAAATAAATACAGTGGAACCTCGATAAGTCGAAAACCTTGATAAGTCAAAAAAAATTCTGTTCCTTGCGTAAACTTTGATAACTCGAAAAAAAACTATAGACAACTCGAACATATTGTGCTCCGAATATAGACGGATAATAACAGATAGCTTTATAAACATTTGTCTAAACGTTCCAATGATTTTTTTTCTCTAATCGTATTTATTGTGTTTACTATCGTATGTATTAACATTAGTTAATCAATCTCGGCGCACAACAATATTTTTCATTTGTATCGGTATTGCCAGTAGTGTCGTTGCTAGGGTAGGACAAATAGGATATTTGTCCAGGGCCCCGCGCTTGTTAAAGGGCCCCTGTGATTTTAAATTATCATTTTAATACCGTGAAGCACATTAACATTTTATACCCTAAAGGCTAATTTCCAGGGCCCCGTAATACCTAGGGCCGACACTGATTACCAGTTGCTACTTAAAAACTTTAATACATACATACATTTTAAAAAATCTTTAAGTTGAATTTTTTTTCTAAAATCTTAGTAACTCGAAAATCTTAGTAAGTCAAAACTTCGATAAGTCGAAAAAAATTGCATTTCCCTTGAATTTCGACTTATCGAGGTTCCACTGTATACTAATCTATGCAGCACTGTTCAACGAATAACGATCCGTTGTAGAAAACAGACCGTTGTCGGTCGCCGTTAACAAGAGCTTTTAATCTTGATCCGCACCTGGTATAAGAGTCCGTTTGAAATTCACATTCGAATTATTAACTAGACCGATTGCACATTCACATTGAATAAAACACGACTATAACGTAACAATTCTAAATATACAAGCAAAAGTTTTGGATTCTTCGATACAAACCTTAAAGGATGATGTATAAAAACCATTTTTTTGAACTGGTTTCGTAATTGAAAACAAATTATTCACATTATGAGTATAGGAGTACCAGTATAAAGAAATTCAGACATTTTATGATAGTCTTGTAATATATCCGATGTTCTCAGTCAATCTTTATGATTGCTAATGTAAAACTACTACTTAGTTATAAAACAAAAAAAATAAGCATATTTTTCCTATTTTTTTTCTTTTTCTTTTAACGTTATCAGTATAAAATATTATTTTAGCCTTAAACAAAAATAGATAAAAATATATGACTTTAAAATTGATTCCTCGTTAAAATTTCGTTTTCATAAGTTTTTAATAAATTATGTTGAACGTTAATGTTGCACCGACAAAATGTGTAAGTGCTTTGTAAAATTAATTAATACCGTGATCGAAATGTTTAATGAACATAATTATAAGCCATTACCAGGAAGTATTTTAACTAAACAAAAACTTAATAACAGTTTAAAACGAAAAGCAGTTGACAACATGTTTACTAGACCGTCAAAAATGTTACATTCTGAACTAAATGATATTAAAAATATAACTTCTGAAAATGTTTAATTAATAAAATGAAATATACATAATGCACGATATTCAAAGTTGTCCCAATTACCTACTACATTAACACAAATTCACGAAACTTTCAAAAATATTATGGAATTTAAGACAATTAAAGGTGAAGACTTTTTGTTAGTGAATAATAACAAAACAAATATATTAGGTTTCTCGGCAGTTCGTAATTTACAAGCTTTATGCAGTTTGAACACGATATTTGTAGACGGTACTTTCAAAAGTTGTCCAAAACTATTTGATTAACTCATTTCTATTTAAGGTGTGCTAAATAACAATTATATCTCACTTGTTTATTTTTTACTGCCATCAAAGTCAACTAAATGTTATACCGATGCATTTCAACATTTAGTAGAAGAATGTAGATGTCGATTTTTAAAAGGCTATCATGCTGTTGCAAATGTTTTCTGGCCTTCTATTCAAATAAATTATGTAGATTTCTAGGATGCAATTTACATATGCATAAAAAATACATGGGACGCAAATTACATATACACAAAAAATACTCGGGACACAATTTATATCAAAATGCTACATTGAGACGCAACTTATAGTCACCCCTCTTAAAAATCGAGGTCTTCAAAAAAAAAAAAAAATTATTGTAATGTAATCAAATTTTTTGAAAAATCACCCAGTATTATATAGCGAGACGAAATCTAACACGATAATGTCCTTTTATTTATATTCTACGTGACGCCTTATATGGTGAAATTTAAAAAATCACTTAATGCCTTATATTCGAAAATGGTTCATGTTATATGTGCTGCGCATGACCTATATAGGGTTTCTAAAAAGGTACGTGATTGATTTTTTACATTGGATAGAATTGTGTCGAATCAAAAAAAAATTATTAAAAAGTACCATCGCGTGTAAAATTATTTATAACGTATGTTTTACCCATTTTTTTTATCGTCAGAACATAATATCACTCTTTGGGGCACGTGGCTAAATACTGCAATTTTCTACTGCGAAAATTACGAACAAATTTGAGAAGTGTGAACATGTTAAACTCGGAAAAGGCTTCAAGTATAAAATAAATTTGGCAATAAATTATACGTCCAAACCACGTATGTACCTATGTAGAGGTACACATCTTTAATTAAAATTCATATACGAACTTGGCCGTGCCGTTATTTATAGGACCCGTCTCGTTTTAACAGATTTAAAATTAATAAGAATCGCAAACAGTAAGTATAATATACATAGTGTTTGCACTCTATGATCAAAGTGACACAACCATCGAGTGATGGTGGCGTATATATATTTATTTACAATGGGCGTCCCGCAAAGGCGGCAAAAGTCCTCGAAAATAACACCGATGGAAAAAAAAGATTAGGTACATAAAAAACATTAAATGCACCCGGATTAAAAAAAAAAAATTACGCACTGTAATATAATCGTCGGACAACACGTCTCCGAGTCCATTTCACTCTTTCCCCTCTCTTTATTTTCTCTTTATCTATTTATAATATATCTCTCCTTTGCACTCATATAAACAATATAGTACAGTGGTGTTTACACACACATACACATATTTTCCCTTTCAATGTGTATCCGGTCCACCGACCTTTGGCCAGATGTCACTCATCGTGCAACCACTGTAATGAATTAATTCACTAAAGCCTGTTGTATAACAAAAATAAACATGAGTGAATAGGTAAATTTTTAAAATATACCACCCGTGCGTAGGATATAATAAAAATAACGATCATTATCAGACGATCGCCGAGAGAAATAATAAACGAATAACGTTTGACACTTATCGGCAGGAAATTAAAATAATTATGATTCCTGACCGATATCAACCATATTACCTAAATTCGTTCTAAATAGATAAACATTCTGTACACGTTAGATAATTATTGTAATTAAATTTATTTCTCGAATAGTTTAATTTTAATTTAAGTTAATGTAAGTATAATATGTAACTTACATATTTATTTATTGTAAATATTATATTTATATAGTAACTAAGGCGACCTATGCTACTGAAATTGATTAAAAATCAATAAAGAAATTAGGCCTGTATAATAAATTAAACATGACAGTTAAATTAACATGTAATTTTAAGTTTTAATTTTGTTGATTATGATCCTATAACGTTATTATCGTCTTCATTATACAACGCTCGCAATCAGAAACAAAAGTCTTGGTAATTGAACACAATCGTTAATAATTCGGTTTATTCACCAGGAAATACAGTGAACTTAAGCATTATAATTATTATTACTTTTGTCATAACATGATATAAAATATGATGAGCATATTTTTCAATATATGCATGTTCATATATGGTTTTCTTTTTGTACACACTAGGAAAATAATTCAATGCTTGAAATTGAAAATACAAGTGCTTGTGGATGTTGAGTAATAATATGATAGTAATAATAATAATAATAATAATAATAATAATAATAATAATAATAATAACAAGTCACACAGACGTATAAATTTACTCGAACCGTAAACAAGTACTTTGCCCCAGAAGTGCCCCTTTGTGTGAGTGTATATACTGGTACCGGGACAGGACAAACGGACGTGGGTACTTCGATTGACTTTGTCGGTGACACCATAAAAGACTGCAATGCATAATATGTATAATGACATCGAGAAATAATTTCATCAAACACTACGTATTCCTTTGAGTGAGAATGTACTTCCAGAATTAATTAATATTATACACAAATATT